CGGAAGAATTACAACCCTACTTCAATTAGTTTTCACGTAATAACCAAAAATATATTTTTTCTTCTGAAATTCTCATCTTTAAAGATAAAAATTTTAAGTAAAAAGTAATTTCGCATGAGTAAACTTTATGTAGCCGTAACTTTTTGACACTTATTTATTCATCGCATTGGCAATTCATAAATTAGCCTCGTGTGCACCTGAATATGGTCACCCGAATGCGTCTCAATAAACGCGCTGGACGCGTACGAGCATCGCAAACTGTCGCTCACTCACCGCGCTGCAGAAAAAAAAAAACGCATAGCCACAGCAAACGTGAAATATCGAACCTTAAACGTATTAATTGGTTTAAAAGTACGACGAGTCCAAGTATGCAAATGAGGCGAGCGCGCGGCGTGTAAATGCAAAGTGCGCACGACAGCCGAGACAGCGCAAAGACAACGCGACAACCAGCCACCGACCGACAGACACATCGCGAACACGACTGCAGAGCACAAGCGCAACAAATACGGTTTACCCAATAAATACACCCGATATTGGATAATACTAAAACAACACGAGTAGTTTTATATACGCGCTCAATACGCGCGTATCGATGTGTGTGCGGCGCAGTTTAAAAAATGCATTTTTCGCACCAAATTTGGCAAAGCACGAACCGTTTTTTTGCGTCTTCTGTTTCTTTTTCTGCATCTCTACCTTTTGCTCATGTGTGTGTGTGTGTTTGTGTCGCGAATCGAGCGCATTTATCCACTTACGAAACACACGCGCAATCGTCATTGATTGGACTTCGCGTATTGAATTTCTTTTCGTGCCATATAAAAATATCATCGTCATGCGATAAAGAACATTTCAATTAATGAGCGCGAGTCGTCGTATTTATGGATCAATACTATCATAATTTGCGCGATTGTATGACGGCGGACTTCGTAATGAATTTTAATTTATTGCCTATAAACGCAGAGATTTATGAAAATTGGCAAAAAGTTTCATTTATTAATTATTATTTTCTAAAAACATTATTTTCAGCACAAAATTATTAAGAAATAATTACTTAATTAGTTGGAACTTAATAAATATAGAAATTTAAATTGAAAATCGCCTTTGGGGATACAAAAGTTACAAAACAAAGCAATTTATGACAATTTCCTTTTTCAAAAATTAATAAAAATGTAATTCGTTTTTACTCTCTTGTTCTAGACATAGTATGTGTCAATTCTATTAATAAGATTCGCAATTTTATTTTAAATGAATTAATTATATAAAGAATTGCTAATAATTCACTTCAGCGCGCCATCTCGGATTCAACTATTTGACTATAACTATGATTGAATCTTAATGCCAACTTTTATCCTATAGAAAAGGGCTGTGGTTGAGGTTTCCCCGGCAATTATTCGAATTTTTCTCGCCGTTAAAACCATCCTTGGACTTGGATAAACATTTAAAAAAAATAATTGTCAAAATAGGTCTAGGCGTTGTTGAGTTATCCGCTTACCAACAGATTTTGCAATTCATTTTTATATTATAGATAGATTTCAACTTATTTCAAACTACACAACATAACATATTAAATAATTTAATTCTTAATCATCTAAAACCACATTTATAATAACATCTCTATTATTCCCAAAATAATTAATAAATTCCTAAAAAATTCTGCGCAGTTTAAAATATCGCAGAGCAAATCATAAAATTATATAGTTAATAGAGTGATTTTAAAATGGCACAATATGCGAGCGCGCATGCAAATAAAACAAAAAATCACCGCAACTGGCAGGCTCCGATAACATTGTTTAAAAATATAATCACCGCGATAAACGGCCGCATATAAAGTATCGCTAATAAAATCGCAACTATGATGACACACGATGCTGTTGTAAACTGAAGCCGGCGATGGAAATGCGCAGTTTCCAATCGTCGTAACGATTGCGAGTGTAAATATTATGATGTTGCTTAGATTCAGCACGAGTTGACAAGCAATCAAATACAGTTTAAACTTCTTTTTTCAATGTCACGCAATGCGCGTATCTAAATTGCATAAACAAATCACTCGGAATGCACATAGTTGTAATTGTACACATAGTTAATCATTTTGTTATTCTTTGCAACACTAGGCATAAAGTATAATTAGTGGCGCCATCTATTTATAGTATCGCGAATTAATAACAGTGAATAAAATATTATATTTAAAGGCAATTAATATTCATAGCCTCATTTAGGTATTAGGTGTTCATCAATTAATGTCAAATAAAAAAAAACCGTAAATTAATTGAGTATATTTGTAATTAATTTAATCTATAGTATGGAACATTAACCATTGTAAGACACACTGTCACTGCGAAGCTGATTAGGAACTAATAGCAAAATCACATAATATACGATCACTCGCAGAGTATCTACGACGAACAGGAAAGAAAATGTGTCAACGTAAGTGCACGATGCTCAAGAAGAGATAAAAGCTGAGTTGTGTGTGCCGCAACTGCTATCGGATATCATTAATTAAATATTGCAACATAAACAACATGCACAAATATAGTCTCTGTGAGTTAACTCCTCTAATAATAATAATAATAATAATTCAACCACATGTAACAGAAGATAAATATGTGTATAATAAATATAATATTTTGGTAAGATTTTACTTTGAGTTCTGGTCGCGTGTTTTATTTAATAACGGTACTCGATTAAAATTCATAACAAACAAACAAATCAAATAAACACGGAAACGTATTATTAAATTCAAAGTAGAGAGAAGCAGAGGCTACCTCGTTTTGGTCAGGTGATAAATCCAGACACGAAATTTATGTAAATAAATCAAATTAACCTAGCGATACATATACTAAAATAAATGTGTCAGTATCAGATGAAATTTGAATTTTTAAAAATTTTCATGGAGATGCAGATGAAATGTTTTAGTTTTTAATTAATAACTCGAAAACTATTTGAGGTAGAAATATGATTCTTTTAAAAATTGATTCGGAATTAAATTCTACATCTAAAAGTGGAAAATTGTATTTATCTTATTATTGTAGAAAAAGTTATAAACAATTAAATTTGGACATTAAAAAAATCCAATAAAATGTACACAAATTGTTTTATAACTTTTGATTCATAACTAAAACCAATAAAACTTTTGTGGATGTAGAATCAGAATTTAATACTAATTATAATTCTGCAAAGATTATTATTGTAACTTAATTAGTTTACGAGTAATTAATTAAAAACTATAATTAAAAACCTTTCATACACTCGTCAAATTTAAACACCATGATTATTCATAAAAAAATTCACAATAGTCTTCAAAATAACTTAAACAATAAATTAAATACATTAATGAAAAGTTAATATGTTCACCACGCGCACATCTAAATCCATCCACGTCAGAAAGTTACTGGTTAATGAATGACATGCAATCTGATGATTGAAAAACATTCGAACCTCGAGCGGAATGTCGTCAATAGCGATAAATCAGACGAATGTTGTATGGAGGACGAAATCAACAAACTCAACTCAACATAGCGCGGCGCATCCTCGTCATAATTAAATGCAAATCAATTAAATACCAGAAAACCATTGAAAAAAATCAAATAAATTCCATACGTCAACATTTCTATTTGCATCAACATGAATCTAATACCTTCCGATAATAAATATTTATATTTTTAACATATGCGATACGTAAACAAAAAATGTAGCATATACAAATTGATGTCGTTAAGTCATAGTTAACGAGTCAATTCGTTATCTTTAGTTCCACTCAAATGTGTTCATTTATACACGCTCGACATTCACGATAAGCGTTCGCAAATTCGCTGCTGTTCATATCGCGTTATTTTGGATTTCGGTTGAACCTTGTCGCCCGTTTTCCTCCGATAACACAATTCATACTTGGTATACGAGTATTCCATATAAATTAAAATAAGACCAATAAAAAATTTCTCAATAGTAATAAAAAATTTAATTGACTCCATTAATAAAACCATTGATAACGTCTTCCACCACAAACAAACAAAAATAAAAATCAGTGCACATTATTTATTTGTTAATCAAATAATGCCAAAATAATCTTCTATGAAAGCGTTATAAACAATTACAATATGGTTAATACTCAAACATTGTTTAGACTCCGCGAGTGATAAGAACAATCGCCTTGGAAAAGTTAGCACGCCGCAGAATACAATATCCCCGAGTTCGCGTCACATTACCGCCGCGAAATTTTAATTTATCGCTCCGCAAACTGCCATGTTTGTAATGTGTGTAATGCAAATAATGATGTCACATGTTCGCATGTCGTGCGTAACGCGTTGCTGCCGCTTGGCTTGTCCACTAATACTTGCACTTGCGATTAGATCCGAGCTCCAACATTAACTAATCAAATACCTAAACATTTCTATACATTACAGCAGTCAGCAACACCACTGAAACACGTATCTGCTTGTTGTAACTCAGTAACATATAACACAACTCAACTTCACTCAACTTTTAACTTAAAACAGACTTTAACGTAAACTAAATTCAGATTTAAAGCTTTCCACAAGTTATTAGATTGAATAAAATATAAAAATAGAATAAGTCTTGGTTTACGTGACTTGCAGCAGGTAGAACGCAAAATAAAATCTGATTTATTCGTGATTGAAGTGAAAATCACTATAATTTGCAGCAATTTCGCAAATTATTAAACATCCAATAAATAAAAACTTAATCCTTCACCTTGAGGCGCATTTAATTTTTTGTTATTCCACATTAAAACTAAATATAAACCAGTCGACACATGAATGCAGGTTTTGCATCTATAACTCTCTGTGATATTTCTGTTTTGCGTTTTATTTCTTTTGTTAACGCGTTATTGTTTCAAGCACGGCGCGCAGTGTGTACACGTGTCTGATTTAGCATTAATTTTTATGTAGCATACACGCCCGAAACGCGAGAATGTGAAGTTAATTTTACGCGCCGTACACAAATACAGATTAACTATAATATTTTACGAGATTTCGTTTCACGTCGCGTCGTTAACATGAGCAGAGGAAAGTCCACAAACACTTTTCATTGTGTTTTCGAATGCGACACCGCGTTGAGATGCCCCGGTTTGAAATAGATTTTACTATCTTATTAGAAAATTTCGTTTACGAGTCGAAATTTTTCCGTTCCATTGAAATCGGTATTAAAAAGCCGTAAAAAGTGTAAGAATTCATAAAGATTTCTGAGCGGGATTACGAGAAACGCATAAAAAGTGAAACTTTTCTGGTATTCGCGTCGTAGGGAAGAGCAAAAACGAGTTAAAATGTGTAATAATATCGTGCATTAGCAGCTGTTGAGGCCGGAACATACCGGAAGCACGGTCAGTGCGCGCCAGCGATTCCCCTTCGGAGTGCTTTTTGTGCAGAAACTGGATAAAACGCACAATTACGTACTGTGCACAACACAAAGGAGCAACAAGAGGGAAAAACAGCGCACAATAATACAAATATGCAAATTTATCAGCACAAAAAGTAGAGTATGTGTGTAATTATGCGTGATAGAATACTGTAAAAACGAAAGCAAATAAAAGTCGATATCGTTCATGTTGAAAGTTGAAATATGCGTTGAAAAGTGCAATAATAGAACAGTAGAATAACAGATATGAGGAAATAACAGGAATGGCAAACAGTTACCACAGCATACGGTAATTTTTTAGATTTTAAAAAAATTATTTTGCGCAATTGTAAAATATATAAATCGCTAATGGATTTTAAATTGTCTTACATGCAAAAATTACACGCAGAAGAAGTTTTTTCTCACTCAAATTACATTTTGAAACAAATTTCTTTCAATTTACATCTTCAAAATTAAGAAAAATTACGTCACCTACCATGAATGTATTTTAAATCCTATACATTATCTACTAATACACGTGTATTTTGTTTTGATCGTTTAAATGACTTTTAAATGAAGCTGAAGCAGACGAAAACAAATTGCGAATCAGACAAAAGAAGATTTCCAAACACAAATGTGTCCCATTCGAAAATAATCGCCGCTACACGCTGCTCCCACTCGCAAACATGACGCAATTGTTAAATAATTTATTATTGCCTTGAACTTCACACCACGTTGCGAGCCGCCGATGATGATGATGATGATGATTGTGCTGCTTTTCGCGGGCACCTCACTACGTGCGTTCATCTCCACACACTCGATGACAAAGAAGACTTAAACAACCACAAATTTTCAATTTTTAAATATTGCCTAAGCAATGAATTATGTTTAGTTTCAAACAATCAGGCAATCGTCAACGAGGCAATAAATGTATTTATCAATATAATTTAAATAAGAAATAACAATAATTTAAAATCGTCATTCGTAATCACCGTTGTGTGCAGTTGCGCGCAGGTCTTTGATGCGAGCTGGTTTGCCAACGCTTCAAAGACGAATACTCTCTATATATCTATAGAACGATTGGATGATGGTTTGTGGCTACGTTCGCCAACAAATTGCGATTTATTATGCGCGAGGCGTAAGCGTGGATGTTTAAGGCACGCATCTTGGATCGCGCTGGCCACAACGCAATTGCGATTCAATCGATTGCCAGCAAGGATCATTGCATAAACTCTGCGAGGAGCGTGCGCGAAGAATACACAATCAGGCCGCTGTGGATGAAAACGAAGAAAATGCCTAAACACCTAACACATCATTATCATAAGTTGCGATGATTATCGCGATTGCAATTTGATCCCACCATAAATCAAACCCCAACTGTTTCAATTCTCTTTTTTTGCGTGTTTTTATTTTTGTCTACTTGAAACAAAATGAACACGTAATATCGTAGTTGTGATGGAATCGCGGCGAACATCTTAATAATTACGATTTATTGCAGTGACCCACATCTATTGACAATCACAGTCATAGACTGTGGCCTGCTTGTGTTTCGGTCAGCGAGTGTTATTACATTACACGAGTACGCCGAGATATCTGCAGATGAATCTATTTCATCATCGGGCGAGAGTTGGAAGCAGCGAAAAAAAAATTATGATGAAGAACGGAAATATCATCATCGTGTGGCGGTCGTTAACGTCGAAGAAAAGTACAATGTGAGGTAAAATTTACCAAACAATTTTCTTGCTTAGCGTCTTAACTTAAGCCGGTTAAATTACGTGCGCGGTAAAACTATTAATTCACACTTGACGGTTCTAGGTTGATTCATTTTTGTGATTCGTTTTTATTGTCGGCTTTGTGCTATTGGGAACACCCGGTATCGATAGCATCAAAGAGTACAGAGTAATTAGGGCCATCCGCAAGCAACTACTACTGCTAGAGAAGCGTTGCCGTTGCTTCATCTCGCGCACAAAGTGTGGAGGGAATTCGAGACAAGTTTCATTTCTGCTCAAACAATACACAACTAACATCAAGTCCAACAAGAGTTATATATTATAGTAGTGTATAAGTATACTGTATTATAATTTAGAAAAGACAACCATTCAAAGAATTCTAATAAGTATAATACTTAAAGAATTAAAAAAAAAATTAAATAGAGTTTTGAATGTTCGGTATAAATCCTTAAATAAATGATTAAATAATATTTGCTAACAATATATCAATAAATAAACTAAAATAAATAAAATAAACTATTTTACCTTTAGCTGTAACACATTATCTTATCCTATAATAATTTAAATGTTAATAAGAGTTGGCATGTTTGTTTGCGACGCTTTTATGCTAAAACCACTTAGGCAATTTTGATAAATTTTAGTATGGAGATATTTTTGACTAAGGAAAAGCATGTAGGCTAATTTTTGTTTCAAAAATATAACTAAAAAGGTGTTAAATAAGGGCTGAAAATTGATATGGCAATTAAATCGTAGTAATAGTTATCTAAGTCAAATTGAGATGGCGTTAAAGTGCAATAACAAAAATTTTCATTTCTCTAAATTAAATTAAATTTTTTAACGTATTTCGCACATTAAATGATTATAATTGTTATTTTCTCATTAAATAACAAAAAAGTATACAAAAATAAAAATCATTAACCTTGTTGCTAAATTCACTTAAGTACTTATTCTCTAAGCCACAATTTATGCTCAGCCCATAATGTACAACTTTCTCCGCTACTTAACTGATTTATCTATTCGCGAAATAAAATCCCCTTAAGCAAATTAATTCCCAAAACAAACAAAATTATTCATTGCCCAATAAATAACTCCATCATGATTTATGAATATAGGCACTACTAAATACCTAGTAAATTTGCATTGACTAAATTTATCAATCGTCCCAAAATGTGATTAGCGCGTCCTCCGAAACCAGTGGAAGCGCATAAATATAGCCAGTACGTGGCCAAAAAAAGCCGAGGCGCGACCGAGTCTAAAGGCAAACCAAAGGCAAATATTGCTCGCAGGAGTCACGATTTCGGCGGGACCGTTATTAATAAATTACCTATCTATCTATACCCACAGCGCTACGCAACAGTTCGCTGTTCGCTATTGTTAATTTCGTCGCCGGCGCGGCACAAATAGATTCGTATTCAATTGAGTCCATCAAGTGCGAACTGTGACTAGAATACTCCAACAACACACACATACACACATAACCAACACTATATATGCGTTAATGTTGAATCAACAGGCAGAAAAAGAAAAAAAAACAAGAAAAAACTCATAAATCTCAACGTGGCGTGTAAATATTTGCGAAACGCCCGCACACACATTAAAAATTATATATTATTGGTGTAAGATAAAGTGCCAAAGTGTTGATCAATCAAATCAATAAATACCATTAAAGTATTTTGGCTCGTTAAAAAAGTTTTTATTTTGTTTGAACAACGCTGGTTTTATTGCGTATTTGCTTAACGAGCTAAGTACGAAGAGTTTTAAATTAGTTTGGTGTAGCGGAATCTGTGTCAGATAAAGCTGGACAATATGTGAAATGAAGACTTCTCTGAAAATCTATTTGAGTACTTACACATGTACTTACGTAGGTACGCCCGGCGAGATGGAAGCATATTAGCGATGGAATTTAAAAATTACACTGACGCAAATAGTCAGCAATAAACCGGCACCTACACTACATGTTTCACAAACTACGCAAACATCTTAAACAATTGGAAATATAATTTTTTTGAAGAAAAACATATTAAATGATTGAATATATTTTTATGTTTTTATAAAATATTCTATGATTGTGTAATGGTAATTATTTTTGAATAGACTTAATGCATTTGTAGGTAAGTGCCGGTGGCACGCATGCAACCGCCGGCGCGTTTCTACAATTTCGGCAGGCCGTAATACGAAAATCTAATTATACGCAAACAGCGATAGTGTTACCTTATTTACGCCGGCTTGAATGTTGGCCGTTTCGCCGCTAACGACTGCGAGTGCCTTTTATTCCACTTTTTCGGCACGCACAGAAATAATCCGTTTAAAAATTACAATTTTCACAATACACTTCTAACACTCAATGCACACTGAATAAATCCTTAAATTCACATCTTTCCTTAAATGTTTGGATGATATGAAAATGTAAAATGTTTATTTTTTTGCTTTTGAAAGTTTTGTCTCTCGCGCAATGCAATGACTCGCGTACGACTGGCATAAAGTCGCGGCGCGTACTGACGTTGACTTGATGGCCAACACTCGGCTGGTGCCCCACTCGCGGCCGCGAACACCACACAATAAATGCGCCTTCACAATGGAAATCGACAGTGGGGCGCGAGCGCGCAAATTAGCCGCGGCTACTACACTGCTCATTGTTGGCGGCCGCTAAACAAACATTGTGTGTGCCATATTTTCGAGGGACCATGGGGACCCAACATGCACGCAAAACATGATGTACACAAAAAAATGTACCGTAATGTCTGTATAGTAAATTATTGCGGTAAATTCGCATTATAAACTTGCAACTTTGTAATTGAAATCGGGGCAAATAAAAAATAACTAATTCTTTTTTTATTGAAAATGACAAAAATTTTGGGTTTGTCTATTTGTAGAAGAACCATGAACGAAATTCCGAGCGAATATTTGGCGAAGCGAGTCCTCGACATAGTCAATGTAGACATTGAAGGTTGAAAATAATTTTACTCTCAACAATCATCATTTTTTTTCGCCTACAACTTCGCCAAACAAAAAAAATTAAACAAAACCGCCAAATTAAATAAAAAAATTCCGATTATGCTTTTCCTTCCTGTTAAGTTCTATAGACGGATATAATATTAAATATTTTTGAGAAATATAATTTTTTAACCTATATTTAAACGTTCATTGTGCTATGCTACACAACACGATAGACGTAAATAAAACGTAAACACATCGCATAATAAACGTTGAGGCTTATGACCCAGATATCTGTTGGGCTGAGGTTTTTTGAATATTCTATAATCGAAATTCTAAATATACATACCTACAACTATGGATAGAGTAGGTAAGTACCTCGTACACGCGTATCTTTCATGTTCACCGACGATTGCAATTATTTATGGTTTTACATGCGCCATTACATTATTACATAGGATGTGAGTATCCAAAATGTAATAGATACCAAAATTAAATTTTATTTCTGATTGTATTATGCAATAAACCAAGTTCAAATAGAAATCTGTAACTTAAAAGGTAAAAAATTAGAAAGAAGAAAAACATGATGATGTTTTAATTTAATATCTTTGATCTTCCATTCATTCATATTCTTTAAAGTTGCACATGATTTAATGCATCGCCTGTCACACATGGCAAGTGTCCAATTTAATTAGCAGCTTGTAATTCATTGGAAAATCAACGTTTTCGAAATTAAATTCGCAAATAACTCAAGTTCGTATACTGCGTCAAATTTATTCATATCTACAATATGAAATAATATATAATATACAATATGAAAATACAATAAATAAATTTGTAGTTTCTAAATTGTAAGTTTGGTTGCCTACATCAATTTCTTCAATACTTGTACGAATATTAGTATATATGCTAGTAAAGCACATAACTTCATTACACTTTGTATACTTGTACTTGTCGCATGTTTTGTTGTGTCTAGTAAGACTGTCTACTTCTAGGATGTGCCGCATTTCGCCTTGGAATACAAGCGAGTTTTACAGCGCGGAAAAACCTTAAATTTCACGAACGATCTGCGAAACTTATGAGGCGGTGTGGCGGCGATGAAGTCGAGTGGAAAAGCCGATCGTCCCGAAAGGTTGGCGCGGCATTATTCACCACCGCCGCTCATTGGCCCACAGCCAACATGTCAATTAGCCACGTGCGCAAACAGACCAAACTCATTTTTAAACGATTTTTAAAAATCGGCAGTTAAGTTGGATAAAATCGATATTTAAATAAACAGCTATTCATTTTCTAAGAAACAAAAGTGATTAATTCACCAGGGGGCAAAATGTTAAGTCAGAGCCGTGTTATAGCGCCATCTAGATACGAATTACAGATCTATAATTATAATTGAACTCCCATAACAACTTCAATCGGGTATTTCACACCCTTCGAGTAATATTTTCGGTGTCAAACTTCACAGAATTACCAGCTAGGTTAATCCGAAGATTTTATGCAAATTTCATCAAATTCGGTTGAGTTTTAGACCCCACAAATAGCATACATACATACAATGAATTAATTTCATTACCATGTTGAAATGTTGAAGGGCAAGGATTCAAATCATCGTGTACACACCTGAAACAAACAAAACAAAAACTATGGTACTAATTACTTGCTAGCAGAAATAAATATGTAGGAACAAACATAATTCAATGTGAACTGGAACAATGTCCCCGCTAGACACACACATACACACGTACATCATGTATTCTCAAATAAACAAATTACGTAAGTTTTTTGCGTGTTTCAAGGCTCACAGTTAAAAGACATGTTAGATGTTCAAATAGTTTATTCCATTCGATCTTCCAATCAGGATTTATTTACATTTTGCAAATCCTCTCAAATAGCGTGCTATTAATTGAAATTTCAAGGTATTTACACGCTTAATTGAACAATCGTACATTCAAACAACAATCGTATATATTCAACTAAATATTTCAAATCTAAATTACTCCGTCAATTAATTCAAGCACGATGACATAATCTCGCGCGGCGAATGTACCGCAAAATGAGAAAAACATATGCGCACACAAACGCACCACAAGGTGTGAAAGAATGAGAAACATGCCGAATGAATGCGTAATGATGGAATTGGAATGTAGTCATCGTGTGAGTCGGCGTGTTTGTCACACAATAGAAAAAGCGCTGATCAAAAGAGATGAAAGCGCCCCGCAATTAGGCGAACACCTTGTATGATGGCACACAATGCTCACACATGCACTGCGCACACTCTTCCGCATAGTTTTCTGCGCGCCGACGAGACTTAAATAAAATAATTCTCGCGTGCGGTGCGGATAAAGTGCGCGCGCGTAACGCAACTATTCCGAGC